AGTCGAAGCGCCGCGTCTTCCACATGTCTCCCTTCCACGTCCTCCAGACGCTGCGCCCCATCCACGACTCTCGCAGCTGGGATTCGTGCGCCGCGAGGGCGGTCATGACCTTGTCCTTGATGTGCTGGGGTATGCTCCAGTCCTTGCCCTTGCTGGGGATCTCGGCGATGGCGTTGACGAGGTTGTGGCCGTACTGGGACATGGCCAGGTCGGGAATGCGTGGCAAGAGCGTGTTGACGAGGCCCTTTTGGAAGACGGAGTTGGAAGACGGCGTGTTGATGGCGGTGGTGAGGAGGGTGACGGTGGGCAGCGAGGTGTTGGCGAGGCGGAGGACGAGGTCGGATGGCAGGGCGAGGATGGATTCGTGGACGGCCTTGGATGGGCCGGAGATGGATAGGAGAGTGGTCAGTAGCTTGGCGCCGTGGGATTGGACGGCATATTCGTTCTTGGTGAGCTGATTCACGTCCTTTTTCTTCTTCTTCTCTTCCTCTTCGCTGGCAGACAAGGAGCACAGTGTCATGACTAGATCGGCGGGTTGGCTGCCGCATCCCTCTTTCAGGCCCTTGATCAGCTTCTTGATCTCGTCGTTGATGTTTCTCGCCGCGCATCGCTCGAAGAGAGTCGTCAGGACGTTGTATCTTGCTTTAGAGACCAGCTGTGGAACGGTGGGCGCGATCTGATCGACGGCCTTGGCGAGATCGTCTTTGCCGAGCCGCTGTAGTACCCGGATGGCAGGGTAGCACGAAATGTCGTTGCGGACGTAGCCCTGTATCCTGGGAAGGAAAATGTTCTGGTTGAGCGCCTTGAAGATCTTTCCCGGCGCGTGCGTGACGAGGGTTTCGATGAGGCGCGAGCCGATCTGGTCATATATCATGCCGTTGACGAACTCGGAGGCCGCGGAAGAGCCATCAGACAGGGATTTGGGGGCGCCAGGGAGGAGCTTCTGGAGGAGAGAAGGCGAGGCATTGCTGGTCTGTCCATCTTCGCCCTTGGCCTCACCCTTGGCCTCACCCTTGGCCTCACCCTTGTTGAGTGTCAAGTCCAGCTCCAAGATGAGCTGGAGGATCGGGTTGCCAATGGGGTGCTTGGCCAAGACCTGAATCGCCGTGGCGTCCATCCCTTCCACCGAATCCCGCATAATCTTGTTGGCCGCCATGATGAAGGATGCCGGCACAGCTCGCTTGCCGC